TTTACGTTTACGTTTACGTTTACGTTACTTATTATTATTATTATTATTATTATTATTATTATTATTATTATTATTATTATTATTATTATTATTATTATTATTATTATTATTATTATTATTATTATTATTATTATTATTATTATTATTATTATTATTATTATTATTATTATTATTATTATTATTATTATTATTATTATTATTATTATTATTATTATTATTATTATTATTATTATTATTATTATTATTATTATTATTATTATTATTATTATTATTATTATTATTATTATTAATTATTGGCAAATGGAAGCACTGTCAGTATTACAGACTATTCAGATAGCTGAGTGTTGAGGGCGCGATAGCTGCCCTGAAGATTTTACAATCCAACTTTTCAGGCACTGGTGGTACTGTCATTTGCAGATTAACTCCTTTGGTGTATCCGTAATAACTTTGAAATCCTTACAACAACTAAATCACGCATCATTTGATGTGCTGGATGTTTGGTCAACGGTAGCTTTGATGAAATAAAAGCATTGAGACAGGTATTTGCATTGGCTGATATTAGTTGACGAGACAGCAAGGCTAGTTTGAATTGCGAGGACGTTGTCGTGATGAGACGATAAGGTAGTTGCTGATTTCCGGATAATGTTTATTCTGCCCATAACCTAATTAGCGCATAAATTAACTAACATGAGTGGTTAAATAGATGATGTCATGAGCGTCTTATTGGTTGTCGAGCTCATGCCATCAACAGAAAAGGCACTCCACTGAGAGTCAGGATAATTATCGTTTTCCAGATATGCTGTTGTCCACTCTCTCTGGTTGACCTAAGGAAGGTTCACAGACTTTCGACTTGCTTAGAAAATATGAACGGAGATGAAACCAAGACAGCGAAGTCATCGGCCACGCTATCCGACATTGAATATTCGAAAATTTTGGAATCGTATCGTCAGAAATGGATGGTACATTTTTTCCTCCGTTTTATTGAAGGGTACTTGCAGTGTACAGTTCAATTTGCTATAGTAAACAATGAACGTCGGAGATTTGGAAGTCAGAATTTTGAGTTCTGATAGATCAGGTTGTACTTCATTAGTACTGGTTATTTATTGCAGAAAAGCCTTGGCATCCAGAATAAGCTGGGTGTTCCATGCCAGAAGATATCGTACCAGAAGAACGAGCAGATCCATTCAACGTGTCTCAAATTTCTTGACCGGTATTCTTCTGCACTGCGAAATAATGACCTGGAAGCTGTGCTAACATTGTTTTGTGAGCGTGAAGAATGTAACTTCGATGAGAGCTATGCGAGCATTTTAGAAATGTTGGTTCCATTACGGTGCAATCTGGATGAACTCTACAGTATATTTTATGCGATAACTACGAAATTTGTGCCAAGGTTCTTTCGTTATCTGATTCAGCTTGGATATGCTCATTGATTTTTATGGTGACCTGTTAACGCAACTGTCATGGAGCTTCTTGGTTGATGTTCTTGCTCGGCATGTAACTCAGATTTTTGAAAGGGTATGTTGAAATCGTTTTTTTCACATGATTTTTTTTTTTTCTTTTTTTGAGAGACATATCGAAAGGTGCCGTATGCTATCAGCTTATGCATTTGATTGTGCAGTATCATGATCCACTGCTCAGCTCACATCTGGAGTCTCATAAAGTTACTTCTTTTGAATATGGACGCCCATTTTTCGCTGCACTATTTGCCCCTGAAATTTGCAAGCAGTCATTATATGTGGTGTGGGACAAATTGTTCGAGAGAGTAAGTTTTTAAATAAATTTTTGGTACAGGGATCTGCTTACAGATCTTCAGTATTTTCTAAACCAATGAAAAGCAAGTTGACAATGAACTTTAGTTTGACTCATTGTAGTTCTACAGGTGATTTCAGCAGAATTAACAAATAATTGTTGAGGGTGATCCGTATTTGTTGTTTACAATGGTTTTGGTCTTCCTAATCAATTGCTCCGACCAGCTTATGGCGTTGAACACCAAAAGGTCCTTACTTTTAGCATAATATGTTTCTGAATTCTATGTTGTACATTCCTCACAACCAAATTTTTATCCTTGCAGTGAACTGGTTGATACGATTCGATTTGCTGTAAAGGAGCTTTCGGTAGATGATGTGGACGATTTTTTTGAGCTGTCAGTTTTGTTTCTAAGTCAGACGCCATCATCTATTAAACAAGTAATTTCATTTGACGTTTAACTGCAGAAGTCTTTGACACTATTGGAAATGCAGATTTTTGCTTGTGATTTCGAGAAAACTATAACTAATTACTGGAAGATTCTAGTTTTCCACCTCTCTTCATTTACTAGTCATACCTAATTTCATTTCTTTCCTCAAAAGTGTTTTTGATATAGGATTTCCAACGCGCTTTGTTTGGCTCTCGACATGCAGAAGAAATGCAAGCTGATATTGCGAAATTGCTTGCATTGCCAGTCGATCCCCGTGATGTTATCCGAATGGGTTTGGACGTAAACCTTAATGCAGCTGTAAGAAATTTGCTTATAACTTAGTTTGAAATTATTTTCCTAACTGCATATCAAAATTTGCTCTTTGGTAACGGCGGAGAATAAACCTTGCAATACATTTCAGTGCAGTAATTATACTGTTTATTTTAGCGCAACAATAGTCATCAATTTCTTTTCCAATCTATAATTTTCAACTTTATTCCATCATTATAGTTTTAGTTTTCAACAAAGGATTCAGAACCGAATTTTTTTATTATTGATGCTCGATCTCATGATCAGTATTCAGCTGGCCATTTGGATGGCTCATACAATTTAGATTCTACCTTGGTGCGCTTCATTTTTTTTCTCTTAAAGCATGATTCCCCTTTCATTTTGTTTGAACGTAGTTCTTCTTTCTTATTTTGAATATAAGGTGCCGTGTGTTCAACTTACAGTTATTTCATCAAGTAAATAACTGACAAAATACAGGATACTCATAGGTTTAACACGCATAATTTAAGTCTTTGCTTCAAATTTAACTAAGTTATTTGAAGCGGCATTCTTGTGTATTACAAAATCTCTTCTCTTTTGGCTATAAGTAATGATAACAATTTTTTGTGGCAGCAGTAATGTGCAGGTTTTTTTAGTTTGTCGAAGCACCACTTCAGTACAAATTGGCTTTGAGCAGTCTAGACGCTTATCGATTTGCTTTTCATTCCGATGAACATATCCTTTTCCTTGGTTCTGGACGTGAAGATGATCTTTATTTGCATATGGTTATTGCAAGTTTTTTACAACAAGGACGGAAGCACATTGCTTTGGTAGACGGAGGTTATAGAGGTTCTTTTTCATATTGTTAATAATCGGTTTATCTTGTATGTTTACTTGGAATTCCCTGAAAAACTTTTAGCTCTTCACGAACAACTTGCACCAAATTTTGAACGTTTGGATGGACATTACGCATCTCTTTGCAAGGAGTGTAATAGACAACCATCACACGCGGTCGAAAAGGAACCTCAGAGAAAATCATTTGTGAGTATTAGAAAGCTCATATTAGCTAGTTACTTTGGTAGGTAAAGTATTGATTTTAAGTATTCTTGTGAGAGTGGATGTCATTGATTTATGTATTGAGAATATGTGATTTTGCTGGCACTTTTACAAATAAGCGAGTTATTTGACTGTGAAAGATAGAAAGGTTTGCTCAGGAAAACTATGGTCACCGAGGTATTTTTCAGTGGAAGCTTGATGTTGGTGGCATTCTTGGTGCAGTCAGGGCAACAGCTCCTTCGATTAAAGAAAAAGTACGGAAATTCCCTATAATTGTGCCACTTGGTCCAAATACTGTTGAATTTAGTCATGTTGAGACAAGTCAGCGGCATGGTAAAAGATATCGTAATGAAAAATCCCTCTTCACTCTTAATGATTCTGATTCCGAAACAGAAGCTATCGCTGTTACATCCAGTCCGAGATTCTCCGAATCAAAAGTTAGCATTTTCTATTTTAATTGATAAGAATAGTCGAGGTGTCTGAACCATGCTAATCACCTGAAGTAGGATTTTAAGATTTAATAGACTCATAATAAAGTCAAAAACTTCCTACGGAATTGAGATAATTTAGCGAATCACTAAAATAAATTGTAAGCTTAAAAATAAGCTTCAGAAGTTGGACGATATCTTGAAACAAAATAGTGTGCTGGAATATTTTGAGGGGTTGGAAGTTTTTACGGAAGGTGCAAGTCATCTTACTGTGGAATGCTATCTAGCCTTAACAGCGACACATATTCTCATTTTTCATCAAGAAGAAAAGGTTCATAAGTTTCAGAATTAGAGTTTTAAAGATTTTTCTCAGTCATGGTTATCCATTTATTACTTTTATGCATCCGTTTCATTTTTAAAGTCCTGAAAATTGGCTCGATGTGAAAGCTAGCTTTTTCGGATTTAATTTTTGAAGGTAATTTTCTTTCTGCGGCAAATATCTTTTTGTGTATAATAGATTGGGGAAGTCATTTTACGAGCACGTCATGCATATGGATCAGTACTGCGTGTTTCAAGCAGAAGAAAAATCCCTGAGCTGCTAACGTTCAAGTTCGGTTATTGTACCAATGAGGATGATTATAAGGCAATGTATACTTATTTTACCCATGTGTATATTCCTCCTGAAATCTAGCAACCCTGTATTCATTACTTCCCCTACTTGTTTGGGTAGAAAATCTCGAAAAAGTAAACGTGCGAAAACTATTATCTTATGCAGTTTCCAAAAAAAAAAATCCCTGCTAATTACAAAATAGTGCTATTACTCTATTCTGGGTCTCTTTTTGAATTCTTTTTTATTCCTTCTTCTGATTTATCTGACCTTTAATCAGCTCAGATGTATGAAAACCTTCTTGTTCCAGGTTACCGCAGTTCATCGTTTCATAATGCCTAGAGCTGGTGACTGCGCAAAATCAATCAAAACAAATATAGTCACGCTTCGACCAAGTATTCTTGGCTAACATTACATATTTCATTCCCCGTTTGCTTATTTGTTCCTGGGATAGCTTATTTTTTATACATCTCTGTTTTTGACTTCATTCGTTTTCACTCTGTGTTGTTAGAAGTACGAGGATTGAAGTAATCAAGTATTATTTGTTCTTTCTTTTCTAACGCATCATAATGCAGAGTTGTAGATGTGTGTAGCATTAAAACGACTGTAATTACCTTTTAACTGAAGTTTTTTTCGATTTGGTACTGATATCCATGTAGAACACTTGCATAATATCCTGACCACCCCCATTTCCTGATTTGCAAGCCACAGGATGACAGGAAAGAAGCGGTGAAGTGTTGATTAGTTTAATGTTTTGTAATTTTTATTTTACCTATGGATTACGAGCTGTTTTGTGCCTTCGTTCTTTCCGGATTTTATATTGCATGACATCGCTGTGATGAAGTTTTCTTTGTTTTTTTTGTTTAACATGTTATCTGAACGTCTAGTTCAGATAACATGTTATTTGATTCTGTCCCGTCATGGTCTCCTTTTCGTTCTTCTAGACTTTTTTCTCGATTTAAATAATTTATTTGTCTAGCTTTGTCTGTAATTCCAAAGATTTTTTAAATCTTAATTTACATGCAACTATATTGCTCGGTGGTGGATTGGATGTAATCTTCAGAATCTCCATAAAAGTCCTTTTACGGAAGTGGTAGCAACAGGGGCTAGGATCGGAGCTGCCAAAAAAATATAAATGTTCACAGCTCCTAACCAGTCTTCAGTTTCAGTTGATTTTTTTGTGATCGCTAAGATTTTATTCTTTAATAAAGCTCGAATTTTTGCTGGTCTATGTTTCGAAACAAAGCATTTGTGTATGAATTTTGCAATGACGTTTATTTATGCATAAAAAGTTGATGCGCGAAGATGGAGTGTAATTAGAGGATATGGAAATCACAGCAAAATACTTGTCCAGAAGCTTCGGCAAGTGACCTGTGAAGACAGTTGAAAACCTAATCAGTTGACTTGTAAAAATATAGTTGATATAGCGATTTCAGTATCTTTTGGCGTTATTTTCTTGATCAAGTTTTGTGGAATTTCCCGTGACGTGAGGTGCAAGAATGCAAGTACTCTTTGAAGAGAAGGTGGAATATAAGTTTAATTCAAATCATATGGGACGCTGGCTGAAGTTAATTTATCATAGTAGTGGAAGCGAAATGAGTTCACTGGCATGCACAAAGGCAGTAGGTTACAAAAACGAACAAATAGATCAGGATGTGGACTGAAGGAAGATGCTGTAGATTTCTTTCTTATTTCCTTAATGAACACTACAAAACATTCTGGACAACTTCTATGCTAATCTTTTAGGATCCTGGGAAGCCAATTCAGCTTAAACGGAGTGTAGTAATTACTTTAGCAGATCTACAGTGAGTGGTCACATGTTATGAATGAATACTCAATATATTCAACGTACAAGTATGTTTCGTGTTATTCACACTCCGCGTTTTGAAGTAAGGAGTTTAGACGTGGATAAACGTATAAAAATACAAAAGCTTTTTTCCTGTGGCCATTGCTTCCTGTTGAAAATTTTCTATGTCATTCCTGCCACTATTTTAATTTCATGCAAATAACGCACCAAGAGAGGATGATTGATTGTAATATAAGCCTGTTCAATCTAAGACAGTGATGTATCAACTTCACTCTGCTCTAGGCCATTTCCATGTCGTTTAGCAGTGACATTTGTCGTTTGATTATTTCCCTTTCCCTCTCTTGCACTTTTCCTCTGTTAACAGGAGGCTTAACTTTGGGATATAAAATTGCATGGAGTCAGTCACCTTACCGCATACCATCTCCAATATTTGCCATGAAAGTATTCGCCGATGACTGTGCATTCTCAAGTGTGGGTTTCAACGATGGCAAGTAGTTGTAATCTTTGGGAATAGTATGGAGGGATGCAATTACGTGCAGTAATGTCGGAAAGGATAACTAGTACGAACTGACAGGCTGTTGATTGTTGCGTGGTGTGATGGATCCGCGAGATGTCTTTAACTCAATCACTGAAATGGTCGTGTGTCCTATAAAGTATAAAGGTTGTTCGGTAGAATTTGACAAAGTTGACTGGATTTTGTGTGCACACTATATGCCCAACAATCCCACGGAAGTGCATTGGCTGTGCTACTTCGAATCTCATCATTATCAAAGCTCTAACTAATGCCGCGTAAAGAAATTGAAAAATTCGAATGTCATTTTTATTCCACTCCGACGGCATTCATAAATATCGGTTGGGAAGATTTGTCATTTCACCAATAGATTTTGTGTGAGTTTTATGCATGTTTCGGTTCACTATAAAGGATTGTTAATACAAAAAGATTAAAGAATGCTTAATGTTGTAATGCTTAACTCGGCCGGTATTTGGTAATCATTTGGTCCTTGAAAGTCAGCCAAGCCGGTTTTATTTTTATTTCCTTTCAATCATGATATCTGGAAATTTTTTCGCGATGTTGTCCTGCCACATTCCCCTGTTGCTGCTTCTTGCATACCCTCGCTGTTCGCGGTGCTAATGTTGTGATTTTTGAATGATGGAATCCAAGAGTAGGGATCGATTTCAACAAATCATTTTTAGGGGAGGTATGAAAGTGAATACTGAAGACGTTACAGTGTCATGGGGTAGGGCACCGGATTCTCTGGATATACAGATGGGTCGATGGCGTATGGCAGTATTTCAAGATGTTCAGGAAAGTTTCGATCACTCCAAGTTATACTTTCTCTATGATCCGATTGCAGATGAAAACTCAGGAACAACGTAAGCAGAAGGACTTTTCAGCTTTATGAGGCATTACTGTTGAAGTTGAAATTTTGTATCACTTGCTAAGTTCTGGTAACTGAGACGTGTACTTATCATTTTTGCTTTTTTTAGTGGAGGACGCAAAGGCAACCAAGGTTTGGTTGTTTTCGATTTGTATCAACGGTGCTTTACTCGTGAAATACCTATCTTTTGTGAAGGTATAACTTGCCAACTGAATTGTTTAAAAGCTTTTAAAATTTTAATAACTTGTTCTTGTTTAATTTATATTGGGGTCTTGGGGTACGTGCATATCTTCATTCTTGCGTAACGTATTTGTGATTCCTTCAGGAACACCGAAATTCATGTTTGCACTGAAG